TTTAAGAGAAGGTGGACATTGATCACAGTTCGCTTTTTTCAGGCAATGGGAGTGAGTCAGAACCACAGAGCTGTCATCAAAAAGAGGATCAAAGAGCTTAAGGCTGAGATGGAACGAGAACAGAAAGCGAGAAAACAGAGAGAAAAAGAACAGAGAACTGGCAAAAAGGAAGGAAAGTTGGAAAAAATGGGATTCATGAAAAAGAAAGGAGTTTATAATATCAACTAATTTCTGCAACGCGGCGTGAGATGCTGCCTGGCAGGTTTTTCGGCTTTTAAAAGGCAAACACTCCTGAAGAAGTAGAGACCGCTAGCCTAACAACCGTCGTTTGCTCGTAAAAACTTCGGAAATATTCGGCATCGTCGGGCTTTGTGCGCAATTGGAACGCGCTTGTGGTACTTCACGTTCGTCGTTTACAGTGTATTATAGGTAATTTTGTAAAAAAAAAGAACAAAAAGTATAAAAGAGATAAAAGCGATTAAAAAGAATACAGCAATGAAATATTAACATGAATTACAACTTGAATTAGCAAATCGTCCTTTGAAAATTGTGCAAATCTGAAAAGTTAATTTAATTCAACGTTTCAAAACGAATTGAAATTCAATTGTAAAAGAGATTTTTTTTACAATGAGTTATCCACCGTGCCACGCCCTAAAAAATGTTCAATTTTTGTGCCAGTTAATCACAGACGTTCTAATTTCTACCTGATAAAATATTGTATCAGTGTCAGTATCTTAGCTGCTACACACCTACCCCTCCCTTAATCCAGTGTTAACCTTAACTTGTTATCAGTTGACTGTGGTTAGTTTAGGGGAAGGGTAGGTGCGTATTTGTGCAGAAACTGACATTGATCCAAAATATTTGTAGTACCTCTGTTACTTTCAAGAACAAGTGAAATTCGTTGATTTAAGAGATAAAGGAAAAACAAATTCTTGTGTATTTTCTAACTGATAAATTCCTACCATCAGAATTATACTTTGTTAATATTTCCTGCATTTTTATTCCAATTTACAGTCAGTGGTTTTTTTTTTTACAACATCGCAAAATGTTAATTTTTTTTTTGTCGAATTGGTGAAATGATCAAACAGGCTTATACTGAGATGTGAATTAGTGTTGAGCAGTAATCATTGGTGTAAATTAAATGGGTTAATGGATTTAAATTTGTGACCTAGAATGTTATTTGACGTACTTTCTACGTGGTAAACTATAGAGCTGAAATTATTTGATAAATAAATAAAGCTGAAGATTTTTTTTTAAATCTTACTCATATTTTAACAATAGAACAGTATCAAGAATTATTTGTCTTTTATTTACGTTGACAGACCTGTAATGTTTTCGTTTGAAAGTTGATATTATTTCCTTCTCCTGTAGTCAGGGTTAAACAGACAGTTTTTAAACTACCCAAAACATTTGTATTTCAGAACCATGCGCTTGTCCATTACCAGTTCACAACAAACAGAGCTGTCAAACAGCTCTAATTTGGTATAAATAAACACGAGTAAATTTTTCAAAAACAAGAAAATTGCACGAGAAGAATCTACAAGTACGTATTTACACGAAATTGCACGCGATTAATAATAATTAACACGAAAAACAGCACACAGTTAAAGAGAGAAGGAAATTGACAGCGCCCGCGCTGTTTGCAATTTTCACCCATGTTACAACTTTCCTATAAGGGTTATAAGTTAACATTTTCAAGAAATGTATCTTTGAACACTAATGAAAAGTGAATCTAACTCATTAGGCGTACTAAGCTGCTTATATCCTC